TTTCCGTCTTGAGGACCTACCGACCTAAGGTCCTTCCGTCCTGATGACTTTCCGTCTTGAGGACCTCCCGACCTGAGGACCTTCCGACCTGAGGTCTTTCCGTCTTGAGGACCTACCGACCTGAAGACCTTCCGACCTGAGGTCTTTCCGTCTTGAGGACCTTCCGACCTGAAGACCTTCCGCCCTTTCGTCTTATATTTTTCCTTAGAAATAAACCTATTTTTCCTTGATTTCCCCACGGTATCCTTCAGCCAGTTCAATCAACTCTATTGCCAGGCCCATTCTTCTTTTTACCTTGGGCTTTTAACCTAATTCTAAATTTCGTACGTAACAAAAATATTATTCTATTTTTGTACTGTTTTTTACTATAAAAGAAAAAATTAATAATTATTACTCATTTTTATTAGAATTTGTGCCCGATCAAATGAGCACATATTTGCATGACGGATGGAGTACATAATTATATACTCCATTCGTCCATTTTCTAATGTCTTAAGGGATATTTACACATTTTTTTTAGGTAATTAGTTTTTTGGTTGTAAATTGACAAAATAACTTTTTATTTTGTGTATAGATATAAAAAAATAAATAAAATAAGGGTAAAAAAGTAAATTCTATGTATAAAAATAAAAAGAGGACAATTATTTTTGGATGTTCAAAATATGAAAATAGGACATTAGTTTGTGGACGGGAGAGTATTATCTATGTATAAAAAAAGAGCCATGTGAGTATTTTAAAAGTTTTTTATTATTAAATAGCAGAAATTTTTGTAGTACAATATTTTATACCCACTATGCATTTTATTATTACTAAATTGAATAATCATTATTACATGTGTATCGATGTGGTTGGTGGCTCGTTCCCAAACCCACCTACCCTTCCACCCACCTACCTCATGCCATGTGTTTATACTAGTATTTAATTAAAAAGATTGGATTATTTAATTTGATATAATTAATTATTTATAACCTTAATCAATGCCTTTCAAATTATTAATTTGCCTTTATTGAATAAAAATATCAAGTGTGTTTCTTTGTCAAATTATTTGAAAAAATATTTTTTATACGAAATATATAAAATTATATAGATAATAGAAAAATAATAAATTTGTATGATATATTAGTTTTTTAAAAAAATATAAGTGTTTTTTTTTTTTTTTTGACAAAAAGAACACACCTTTTTGGTATCTATAACATGTTTTATCATATTTTTTTTAAAATTAAAAATTTTCAATTTTTAATATCAACAAAATGTTATACTTCTTACTTCTTTGAGTTTTTTATTTTATTACAGAGCACGTACGGACGCACCCTATGAGATCGAATCGCGATATTTTAACATGTCAAGAGAGGGTTTTATAGTTTGAAATACACGTACTCGAGATGTATTGATCTTAAGAATGAATGATTTTTCATTTTTTTTACAAAAATAAATTTAATTTTTATTATTTGAACTTTGTATTTTTTAAAAAATATTATCATAAAATATAATATCAAACATTATTAAATATAAAATTAAAATTAAATTCTTTCTTATTCAAATTCAAAGAAACACACCCTACCTAAATAATATGCCTGCCATTATTCATTAAAGCAAATGATTTAGGAGAAAATAATAAAATTATCTTATTTATTATTAAAACAATGGGCCTATCAATATAAAATAGATTCGATAAACTCAAATTTAAGTAATATAATTTAATGGATAAGACCATATTTAAATATAAATCTACTAAATCTAAAGTTGAATATATAAAATATCTCAATATTCTCCCTCAAACTCAAGTGGTATAACATAAACCAACTTGAGTTTGATAAGAAAGTTGAATACAAACGCAAAAAAAAAAAAAACAAATAAAAATAATAGTTGACTTTCCACCGGAGCTGAAAACGAGTCGAAAACGAGATCACTCTCCACCGGTGCCGAAAACGAGATGACTCTTCACCGGAGCCGAAAACGAGATGACTTTCCACCGGAGTCGAAAGTAAGATGACTTTCCACTGGAGCTGAAAACGACATAACTCCACCGGAGCCGAAAATGACATGAATCTCCACCGGAGTTGAAAGTGAGATGACTTTCCACCGGAGTCGAAAGTGAGATGACTTTCCACCGGAGCCGAAAACAAGATGACTCTCCACCGGAGTCGAAAGTGAGATAACTTTCCACTGGAGCTGAAAACGACATGACTTCACCGGAGCCGAAAATGACATGAATCTCCACTGGAGTCGAAAACGAGATGACTCTCCACCGGAGCAGAAAACGAGATGACTCTCCACCGGAGTCGAAAGTGAGATGACTTTCCACTGGAGCTGAAAACGACATGACTCCACCGGAACCGAAAACGACATGAATCTCCACCGGAGTCGAAAACGAGATGACTCTCCACCGGAGCCGAAAACGAGATGACTCTCCACCGGAGCCGAAAACGAGATGACTCTACCGAAGCCGAAAATGAGATGACTCTCCATCGGTGTTGAAAATGAGATGACTCTTCGCCGAAGCCAAAAACACATGATTCTCCATTGGAGCTGAAAACAGTTGACTCTCCACCGGAGCCGAAAACAGATAGATCACAAACACCAAACAGATCGCATGCAGGCAAGAGACAAACAACGGACATATGGGCAGACAACAGACAAGTAATGGATAGATGACAGATCACAAACAGGTTTCAAATGGCACACAGGCAACAGACAAATAACAGATAGATTTCAGATCGCACGCAGGGAATAGACAGACAACGGACAAATGACAGATATGCAGGCAACAGACAAATAGCAAATTGCAGACATGTTTCAGATTGCACGCAGACAACAAATAGATAACAGATAGATTTCAGATTGCAGGCAAAAGACAAACAACAGACATATAGCATATCGTAGAAAGGTTTCAAATCGCACGCAGACAATAGATAGATAGCATGATCTCAAAATCACAAGACTTCCGGGTACAATCCAGGTTGGATGTACCCGGAGAAACGCAGGTTGATATACTATATTTACGACATGAGAAAAATAGACTCTGATACCATGTTAGAAATTTTGGAAAATAGTGAGATTGTCTTATTAATCATCAAAATAAATGAGCATATATATAAGCAATACAAAACAGACTCGATAGACTCAAATCTACGTAATCTAATTTATGGATAAGACTAAATCTAAATATAAATCTACTAAATTTTAAATTAAATATCTAAAATATCTCAACAAATATCATAATCGTACGATGAAAATAAAGGTTGTGTTTTAGATATTATTTTATTTTAGTTTTGCATTACTTATTTAAATTTATATTTATACACAACTTTTATTTCAATTAAATTATTTAGTATAGTCAAATCATCACCAGTCTCAAACCATATCCACACTAGCTAAGGTCACTATTATTGAAAAATATAGATTAGTTTATTATTATTTTTTTATTATGCAGTGCTTTCAAAGAATGTTTGATTTTTGTTAGAGATTTTGATTTTGATTATGATTTAAATGATGTTTTAATGCAATATTTCCTTTCTTTCCTATAATTAGGTTAGATCTTCTTCTTCTTATTATAATAATAATTATTATTAAATTTATTGATAATTCATTTACATGAATAATTTTATTTACTTATAATTATTATTCATACTTTAACAAATAATAATTAATTAGTTATTATTTTTTATTTATTCCATTACTTTAATCAAATTCTTTAATAATTTTTACACAAAGTAATCATTTCAAACATACCCCACTTCTATCTCTCTACTTTATCCTAACATTATTACTTTTACATAAAAAAAAATATAAAATTATCTATATACTAATTTTAACCATACTACAATCAAAATATTATTATTTCTTCAACACTATCCAAAAAGTAAACATATACTTTCAAATTAGACAAAAGTAGTATTATTTTTTAATAGTCGTACCCCTATAAAGTGACATAATTAATCTGGACGAAAAAATTATTTTATAACAGAAAATAGTTTATATGTACTGACAATCATACAAATTAAATAGGTCCGTTTCGGACTTTTTATGGCTATGAGCAAAAATAAAATATAGGCGGCATAAACAGTAAATATGAAATTAAAATAGTTGGTATTATAAATATAAAATATTTTTTGAATATAATATACTCCCTCCGTCCGACTGTAAGTGTTATATTTATATTTTGCGTTATTGTACTTACCATTAAAAATATCTTTATATTTGTATATATATTTTTTTTTGGTACAAATTCCATTATATTAGTATTATAAGATACTATTAGAAGTATTTTAGCCATTTTTTTTATTTGTATTAAGTTTTGATATAATAATTAATATTAAAAAATTAATAAAAAAAATAAATGTAACCTTTAGAGCCGAATAGAAAAAGTCATTTGTAAATATTATTATTTAATATAGTATTTTAAATTTATCTATTTTTTGATATTTGAGCTCTCAATTCCCCAAAATATATACATTAAAATATTTTTTTCCAAATAAAATCTTAAAATTCCTAACTCAATCGAATTAAAAAGGAAACACCTTCACATCTAAAAGAGTAAGCTTGCCAAGATAATATATATATATATATATATATGTATACACACGACAATGCATACAAAGAACCACCAAAACATTCATAAAAATGGCTTAAAAGTATAAAAAACAAAAAACTAGTCAATCATAAATATTGTAATTCCAATTCACATTTGAAATACAAAAATATATATATATATATATAAACAAAATCCCATAATTGAAGTGAAACCTAATTCAGCTTGCAACATTATTAATGGCTGGAAATATCGCAATTACTCAAGTAGAATTCAGGTAAAACCAAAACCACTAGCAACAATCCCGACTAATAAGTTAACTAATCAACGGAGTATCAGCATCTCGGGCAAAAATGAGCAACCCTTGCACGAGCATCAAGATCAAAACCAAAATCCTTTCAAAACTTCAATGAAAAATAACAAAATGTATGATTTCTTAAATACGACAGACGACCTTTTCTTCACTCGGTTACGGGAAATTCAAAGACGACATCTTTTCACAGAGCTTCATGTAGACACCAGAGAATGTCTCCACCTGGTTCTCAATGTCATTCTTTGCCTTCGGGTCCAAGAAACTTGAAATAACATAAATTTTACAATACATCACTAAAATGCAAATACTATAAAAATATAAAATTGGTCATCTCCAAAGAGATATTTTTACCTTCATAATTTTTTATTCCTCAGAGTCTGTATCTTACCTGCTTGTCAACAATCTCAGCAGGATAGAAAATGTCCTCCGGTGTAGCTTCAAATGGACAACAGTTAGCGTACGAGTGTGTGGCCTTTGAACAGCGGAGCCCTTCTTCGGTGGGCGCAAAATTTTTCTAGTGATAACTCTAAATAATATCATATTTTTAGCTTGATATAACTGTGTATTACAATATCTGATTTATGGCATACTTTATTGAATGGTTTCGCTTGGTATGATCCGAAGCTAGTCTGTTGAGATTATTAACGTTTTTGGCCTGTTTAAGCGATATTTTTGGTCCAGAAAAACTAAGTGTTGAAAGGCAAGCGCCGGCACTTTGGCTTGGCAAGCGACGCTCTTACTGCTTGCGCCAACGCCAGCAACCAGACATCCACCACTGCGAATCGAGGGTGAACCACTCCAGAAATTCACTAAGTGTTCATCTCTCAGCGGTCCAGCCATTCCACTACCAGCCAGTGACGAAAACATGCTTGAGTTGCGCTGATGCCCCTAAGCCATTCAGGAAAGCGAGGAAGGTCTGCACGCTTACATTCTGAAGCGAGCGAAGCGGCAATCAAGGAATTATGGCCGGTGCAACTGCTTCAACACCGTCAACCGCCTAACCGCCCAAGAAGTTTCAACTGCTACTAAACTGCTCTTCAACCACCAGTCCCGTAGATCTATAAATAGGGTCATATTCATTTTGTAAATATCACGACGTGACACACGACCTACACTATTTTTCTGTAGAATTTTGTGCTTTCCAAGAGCTCCAACTCTATAAGGAAGTTCTCTAGATAGGAATGGCCAGTGTGAGTTGAGATTTTCTCCTCCTCTGGCCGCTCACCTTACTGCTTTCTAGAATAGTTTATTGTTTTGGTTTACAGCTTTGATTATTGCTCTCGTAATATAGATCCTTACTGTTTTCTTTAGTAAGTAATGAAATATCAAAATTTCTTCAATTATCACTTTGATCCATGCTTCACATTTGCGTCAAAATGTTAGGATTAGAATTATATTTTGTTGTGGAAGAAAAGAGAAACATCGACTATCTTAGCCTAGTTTCGCGTCGTATTCAATAACAGATTCTAGGTAGTTCAATGTAGCTAAGTACACGAAACTTTGTCGACCTGCTTAATTGCTGTTCTGAATTCAATTCTAATTAAAGAGAGGTAACATAAGGGTAAAGTCACTAATGAGACAAGGATTAGAATAATTAATGGGGCATAGACGCTGGTCTATTGGATAACAGAAATCTCTAGTGACAGTAGAATTTTTTGCTTATAATGTTCTGATTCTAGGTGCCATTGAAGTTTTGTTGTAAATCCCTCAAGGTCAAGTACTAACTAAGCCAATTTCTGTTTTAATCATTTGGCGCAATTACATTCATTTCTCCTATCATCACATGTTATAAATATATGTTTCGTCTACTCACTTTCATCATTCGCTAATTACATCCATGAGAATCTAGCCATAATAACACACAAATAAGACAACATTATTTGACCCTCCTTACCGCTCACGTATTGGTAACCATATACATATAATCCGCCTCACTTCACCCGTTTGCCTCCGCTCTCCACTGCTCTCGCTGCACCCATTCCTCGCATACTGCCTCCGCTGAAACTCCCCATCAACCACTCATCTTTACTAGCTTTTCTTTAAATTCAATCATAGTTTAACTCTCTAGCTCGCTCTTAAGCCAACCAACCTTACTGCGTTTCGTTGTGCTTCACCGGTATGAAATTCTTGAATTAAATTTTGCGACTTAAAATATATGTATTCGACCTGAAAATTCACTAGTAAAAAGAGTATAAATAATTTTGATAATGCAATTCAGGGTCTACAACTTCATTTTTTATTATCTATATCTAAACATACACAATAATGTACACTTCACTCGTCAAAACTCATAATAAATTCCTTGTTTTGAGTCTAACTAATCTAGTGATGCGTCATAATTTATCTTTAAATTTTGTTATTCTGTAATTCTTTAATCATTATCGCTGTACTAACTTTTTTTTCTTTGATGTGTCGATCTTTAATTCAGGGGTCCTAAGCATTTTCAGTGTGAAAACCAGTCCTACTCCTTCTTATCGCACTCAGAGTCGTCTTTTTCGAGAAGTCACCAGAGAACGGATCGTGGCCAGCCAAGGAAACAATGTTGCTCCTGCCACCGTTGTCTCGGCTTTCCAAACTGCCGCTGGGATATCATCCAATTCTGCCAGATCTGCATCTTCGCAGGAGATGCCACTGCATGTCCCCACTGTACACCAGCAAACCATGTCCTGACGACTACTGAAGAGCAGCTCATTAGGATGTTGACAAGTATCCAACAGGGAATGGCTAGAATGCGGTGCACCTCGCTCAGGTCTAACAAGCTCAAGCCGCCCAGGCTGCATTCATGGCTGCTTATGTGACCCAAGCTACTTGCGCCACTGCGAATCCTGCTACCATCACCATACCTCCACCTACTGCTGAGCCCCACCAGAGGCAATTACAGGGACACAAGGCTGATGATCGCCCACTTGCTGAAGTCCCGATGGACTTTCACTATCAGTCCCTTCTGGACAACACTGTAATTACCAGTTTTGCGCCCAGAGGCTCTGGCAATTATGAGGTGAAGCCAGCACTGGTAGGCCTGGCCAGCCAGAGCCAATTCCATGGCCTGCTCAATGAAAGCCCTTATGAGCATCTACAAAACTTCAACTGGATCGCTGCCATCTCCAAATCTCATGGCATCATGGAGGACACAAACCAAGCTAATTTTGTTTCATTTCTCTTTAGCAGGTGAAGCCAGAAAGTGGTTTGACTTGCTCTACCCAATTACCGGAACATTCAAGAAAGTAGCACATGCCTTTGTGAGTAAATACCATAATGTGTCGAAAACCATTAGTCAGCGGAATGAAATTCTCAACTTTAAGATGGTTGCTGATGAGACCCTGCCAAAAGCTTAGAGCCGTTACAAGCAGCTGCTCCGCAATTGTCCGCACCATGAGATTTCTAACTTCATGGAGCTCTAAATCTTCTATTTAGGGATCATTCCTAAGTTAAGGATGTCTCTGGATGCAGCAGCGGGTAGGTCTCTTATAGGACGATGTGCGTCTGAAGTGAGGGCTTTGATTGAGAAGATGGTGGCCAATCAGACTAGCTGGCCGGAAGCCAACCGGTCGGAGCCATCAAGGGGTCTTTACCAGGTTCCTGCTATTGTTTCACAAGACGCGCAGATAGACAACTTGTCTATCCAGATCAAGGAGTTAGCGAAGCTCGTGAAACAGGATTTATCTGGTAACAAAAATAAATAGGTAATAATTGAAGTCATGGCCACTAAAGAGTGAGCTTATGTTGACCAGTCTAGCCCGCAGGTTGCTGAGAGCTCAGCTGAGCCGACTCAGAACCCAGCGGAGGTCTTCTATATGGCCAACAAAACTCCTCCTCAGTATTAGAAGTTTCAGAAAGGGCAACCCCAAAGGCCTGCCAGTCCATGCCCTTAACAACAATTTCATAAGTCACAACAGTTCGCTGCGCATCAATATTATCAGAGGGGATATTATCCGTAACAACCTTACTATCAGACCTCTCACTTTCCTCAACAGGCACCTGTTTTTTTTGCCAGCCTCCCATAGCGACGAATCAACCGTTGAGTCTGGAGGAATTATGGAGAAACACTGAGCGGGCAAACCAGGAGCTCCAAAGGAATACATTTGCCTTAATCAAAATGCTGGAAATGCATGTTGGGCAGATAGCTGAAGCGAGTAAGCTAAAATAGAAGTGAACATTGCCTAGGAAAGTTGAGATTGTACCGAACCAAACAAAGGTTGTAGAAACTCGGGGAGAAAAACGAACGTCATCGCCACCCCTGCCTGACAGAGGTATTAATCACTCTTCTTCCCCTATTATTTTAAATACATTGCCTGTACATGATGATAATAATCAAGCGCCAAACAAGGAAGTTTGTCCAACTGAGCCACGAGCGACGCAAGCCGCTCGGGTGCCAACTAGAAAGAGAAGGAGCCTAACCAAGCGATGGCTCCAACTAGATTCAGAAAGAAGGATAATTCCAAGGAGTTTGAAAAGTTTATACACACTTTTCGTAGTCTTAAATTCACCATTATGTTTGATGATGCTTTGCTGCAAATGCCACAATATGCTAAGTTTAAAAAAGATATAATCAAGAAGAAGCGAATAATGCTTGAAGTGGATGCAGCGGTGTGGCTAGAGGGTGTGTGCAGCGCCATGTTTTCAGAGGAGCTACCAAAGAAACTCAGCGATCCTGGGAGTTTTATTATTATTTGTACTATAGGGAAACTAAAACCGATTAGGGCATTATGCGACTTAGGAGCTAGTATCAATCTTATGTCTTTTTTTGCTTTTCAGTAAATTAGGGTTTTATGAAATTGAGCCATGTAATTACTGTAATTCAACTTGCTGATAAATCAATAAGGCTCCCGAAAGGGATTATTCATGATGTACCGGTGCAACTAAATAAATTAATCTTCCTGCAGATTTTATAATAATGGAAATGAGCGAGGATTGCAAAATTCCAATAATTTTGGAAAGACCTTTCTTTGCCACCGCTCAAGCCAATATCAACGTCGTTCAAGGCAAAATTACATTGAGCATTGGTGGAGATAAAGTCATATTTTTTATGAACAACAGAATACGCCAACCTCGGGAAGAAAACTGTAATTTTATTGATGAATTAAATGAATTAACTTATCTTGATAATAGTTTAACCTTATAATTTCTTGAGGGAATTTCAAAGAATGATTCACTCACACTGGAACAACTTGAGGACTTGATGAGCAGAGCGACAGCTCACCTGTACCCACTGAGTCCATAGAGCAAGCGAAGCGAGAGCTAGAAATGAATCCACAATAAGGGAGAAGTTGAAGAAGTTACCAGAACATCTCAAGTACGTATTCCTTGGCCCGGAGGAGACTTACTCGCTGATAATCTCTGCCTCGCTTGTGCCGGACCAAGAGGCTCAACTCCTATGCCTTCTCAAGAGAAGGAATGTGGTGTTTGCATGGAAGATTTTAGATATTAAAGAAATTTGCCCAGTGGTGTGTATGCACCATATTAGACTGGATGGTGAAGCAAAGCCATGCAGACAGCCTCAATGACGCCTTGATGAAAATATGCAAGAAGTCATGAAAAATGAGGTAATAAAGCTTTTCGATGCAAGTATCATCTACCCTATCAGTGACAGCCAGTGGATTAACCAAACCTAGGTGGTCCCCAAGAAAGGAGGCTTTGTCGAACAAACAAGCGATGATGGGGAGGTCTTCATGACAAGACCAGTCATAGGATGGAGAGTCGGTATCGACTACAGAAGACTGAATGCAGCGATGAAGATAGATCATTTCCCACTGCCATTTCTTGATCAATGCCTTGAGAAGCTTGCCGGTCACAAATACTATTGTTTCCTGGACGGCTACTCAATATATCATATAATTCCC